GGGGGGGGGGGGGGGGGGGGGGGGGGGGGGGGGGGGGGGGGGGGGGGGGGGGGGGGGGGGGGGGGGGGGGGGGGGGGGGGGGGGGGGGGGGGGGGGGTGTGGGGTACAAGTATGGGAACAAGTAATGGCACCAAAAACCCTTTCATTCCCATAATTATCGGGGCATGGGACCCCCTTTCATGTGGTCCTATCATCCTATTATAAATAATTTTATTACTATACACTTACTTTTTTTTTTCTATCAAAATAATCATAATCTAAATTAATTTTTTACCTGAAGTTAAAAAAAGTGAATTTTAATATAATATTTATGACAAGGGGGTCAGTGATCGTACAGCTTCCGAGGTTTCCAGTTGCCGGTGGGCCCTCCCCTGCCCCTCCTTTTTTTGTAACTTCAACATGGGCTTGATTATTCAGGCCCATTAAAGCCCATTTGCTCTTCGGTAATTGGCCCAATAATCATATGATGGTTTCGTTTGAAGCCCAACTCACACGTAAGCGCTAATTTATGTATACTCACAAAAGAAGAGATAAAACCGTTGCTAGTGAAAACAAAACAAATACCCATCTCGCCTTTTAGTTACGTGGGATTCTTTTTTAGTTAATATCATTTAATTTAACATGTTGTCTATTTTTGTCCGCTATATTGCCGTAAGTCTCACAGCTTTAAAACGTATTTGTTAGGGAGAGATTTTCACATTCGTTTCCCTCAATATTCATTGAACTATGCTCATGTTGAAAATCATGATCAATTCATACATGCTAACAATAATCTCAATTAGTTTACAAAATTTTCGTAAATTTAAACATTATTATGTCTAGATTTTAATAGCAAATAGATAAAGGGGACGAAATTATTATGGTATTTTTCGATATATATAATAATAGAATACAACGTTTTTGTTTTCGAGGTATTAACGCATCATACTAGAAGATAAGTTGATGGCAAACAAGAACACTTTCTTCCTTCTCCTAACCATTTTGATTTTGAATGTTTTGAAAGGGTATGCAATGGCATCAAACGATAGTTCAAATGAGTTAGAAGAGATGAAAGCAGTTCCATTCGATTATTATCAACTCGTGCTACAATGGCAACCAGCAACGTGCAGCAATCTCACCTGCCTGAAACCCTGGTCGTCGAGGTTCAGCATCAACGGCCTCTGGGCTGGCAGCTATTCTGGTAGCATTGGACGGTGCAGTGGCAGCGAATTTCTCCAACAAAACGTATGAATTTATTCACTCTTGTGATTATTGTTAGGAATCACGACTCTTCATAATGATATGATATTTCTTACTTACAAACTAGCACTATAGAGTCTCATAGAAAACCTATAGAGCTATTGAACAGTCTCCCCTTAGTCAAGGCTCACAACTTCTTTGTTCGACATTTGAAGATTCTATTGACATGACTAAGATAAGGGCATAGCTCTGATACCATATTAGAAATCACAACCCTCCATAATGATATGATATTGTCTATTTTAAACATAAGCTCTCATTTGTTTTAGACAACAGATTTCAAGCATAAGAAGAGAGCAAGACGAGGATTGGCCAAGCCTGGTGGTCATAGGCTCAAACCCAGCAGTATGGGGCGAGGAGTGGGATTTACACGGAACCTGCTTCGAGACTCCGACCTTTCAAATCTCAGACTATTTCCGATTAGCTCTGTACCTTTTCTGGAAGAGCGACGTGCTGCAGGCGCTTGAGAAATATGGGATGGAACCCGCGGATGGGCGGCGATATCTAGCACCGGACTTTGAATCTGTCCTCAACGTTAGCTTTGGGAAGCCTGCTCTGCGCTGCAGCCGCAACGTGAAGTATAATCTTCAGTATCAGCTGGCGGAAGTGGGTCTGTGCTTCGACAAGTGTCTTCGCCACATCAACTGCCCTTCCCAGTATTCTGCTGCCAATGGCTGTCCACGAAATCAATTTATCCTCTAGGATTAGCAAAGCAACTTTAATAAATGGAAAAAGGGATGTGTGTTGTGTTGACGTCTCTTAAATAAAATTCTTTTGTGCTTTTTAAGTCTTTCCGTGATTCTACAAAGAGTTTGATGGGAGATTTCACGTCGGTAGGAGAAAGGAACAAACCATTTCTTCCAAGTTCTGGTAAGGATGTGAAAACTAGATAAAAACATATAATATTCGTTAGTGGTAGGCTTGGTATGTTACAAATGACATCAGAGCGAGAAGCCGGATAGCGTGCCAATAAAGACGTTGACCCTTAAGGGGTGGATTTTGAGATTCTACATCGATGGGGTGGATTGAAGTGAGATTTCATGTCAGTGGAAGAAAAGAACAAATCATTTCTTTTAAGTTCTTATAAGGGTGTAGAAACCTTTCCCTAACAGACGTCAGGAAACCTCTCCCTAACAGACCGTAATATAAAATCATGAGGCTGATTGTTATACGTAGTGGACAAAAACCAATAATATTTGTTAGTTGATTGTTATATGTAATGGACAAAAACAAACAATACTTGTTAGCGATGAATTTGAGATGTTACAAATGGTGGATTGTGAGATCCTACCTCGATTGGAGGGAAGAACGAAACATTCCTTATAAGAATGTGGAAACCTCTCCGTAACAAACACGTTTTAAAACTATGAAGATATAGCGACAAGTAACGAGCCAAAACGGATAATATTTACTTGAAGTTGACAGCTATACATAATGAGCTAAAACAAACAATATACATTCAAAAATATCTAGACTTCGACCAGTAGAGGTACCGAAGCAATCGTGTTGTGATGGGGTGAAGGAATGTCGGTGAACTCAGAGAGTATAGTTCTAAATTCATCTCCGGTGATGGTTTCTTTCTCTAACAAAACATCCACCAATTTATGTATGGCTTCTCGATTGTTTCTAATGTGGGTTTTTGCAATTTCGTACGCCCTTTCTATTATACGTCGTATGGATGAATCTATGTCTTCTGCTAACTTCTCCGACATGGAGTTTCGAGCCAGCATTCTTATCACCACATCACTGCTCTGTGTTGCTGGATCTATCAATGCCCATGGCCCTATCTCTGACATCCCAAACACCGTCACCATCTGCAGTTGCTAGTGTTAGGATCGGACAACTCGATAAAAGTACATTTTGAATAAGCTTAACCAGAACAATCGCATCATCACCTGTCTAGCGATTTGGGTGACCTGCAGCAGATCTCCGGCAGCACCGGTGGTGATCTCCGGCTCCCCAAAGATCACATCCTCCGCCGCTCTGCCACCAAGCCCACCAACTATGCGAGCAAATAATTCCTTCTTCGAAACCAGAGATGGGTCTTCTCCGGGCAAGAACCATGTCAGTCCTCTCGCTTGCCCTCTCGGAATCAGTGTCACTTTCTGCACTCGATCATGGCCCTCCGTCAAGCTCCTGCTCAATTGCCAAACCCACATTTCAAAAATATATACAAAAAAGTTGAATCGTCAGAGTCTCGGTTTTCTACAACTTACGCGCACACGGCGTGCCCAATTTCATGGTAAGCCACAACAATTTTGCTCTTCCCATCTGTCATTTTGGTTCCTTCCATGCCGGCAACAATTCTGTCGATGGAATCGTCGATTTCTCTCAGTGTGATCTTGTCTCTGCCTCTTCTTCCTGCTAGAATTGCAGCTTCGTTCATTAGGTTAGCCAAATCGGCGCCGCTGAAGCCTGGCGTCCTCATTGCAATGATGCTGAGTGATATGTTGCTGTCCAGTTTCTTGTTTTTGCTGTGAACCTTCAGGATTTCTTCTCTTCCTCTCACGTCAGGTAATCCCACTGTAACCTTCATCCAAATCGTTAACACTTTCAAAATCCATTATCCTATCAATTATAAACAAGAACAAGAACAAGAACAAGAACTTGAACAGAGGAATTAGCTTACTTGTCTATCGAACCTCCCTGGCCGGCGCAAAGCAGAGTCGAGAATTTCAGGGCGGTTGGTGGCGGCGATGACGATCACGCCACTATTACCAGTAAAACCATCCATTTCAGTGAGCAATTGATTCAGTGTCTGCTCTCTTTCATCGTTTCCTCCACCAATGCCTGTGCCTCTCTGTCTCCCAACAGCATCTATCTCATCAATGAAAACTAAGCACGGGGAATTGGCTTTTGCTTTGTTGAATAAATCTCTCACTCTTGAAGCCCCAACCCCAACGAACATCTCTATGAACTCAGAACCAGAGAGAGAGAAGAAAGGAACTCCAGCTTCCCCTGCAATGGCTTTAGCCAACAAGGTCTTCCCTGTTCCTGGCGGCCCAATTAAGAGAACCCCTTTTGGTATTCTTGCTCCAACAGCTGAAAACTTCTCGGGGATCTTCAAAAACTCCACAATTTCTTGGAAATCTTGCTTCGCTTCATCAATCCCAGCTACATCATCAAATGTCACTCCTGTGTTGGGTTCCATCTGGAATTTGGCCTTACTCCTTCCAAGTCCAAATGGCAAGCTGGGCCCTCCAGGAGAGTTTGAAGAAGATGATCGAAGCAGCAAGGAACCAAGCAACAACAATGGAAAGGCCAAATTTCCCAACAAGTCGAGAATTGCAAGCCCCCAATTGACCTGCATAGGATAAGCAGCAAAATCCACATTCTTTAGCTCCATCTTCCTTATCAACTCTTTTGGCAGCCCTGGCAGCTGAATCTTAACCCTCTGAATCTTGTCCAACACAGGATTATAAATCTCAGCTATGGCGACCGTACCGTTCTCAAGAATATCAACCTTCTTCACTCCACCTTCATCCAAATATTGCAAGAATCTTGAGTACGACAAACGACTGGAAGTGGATTCAATAGGACTCTCTGGCTCTGCGCTTGCCGAAACAGAGACATCGAGGAAACCTTCTGCTAGAAGAGTGAGACCAGTGGATGTCAATAGATTTCTCTTACTGATTTTAATATCTAGAGGAATTATAGGACATGGGTTTTCTTTGTTAGCTGTTTTGGAGTGGTGGGTCTTCCTTGAATGGTCATGAAACTTGCAGACAGGAGAGAGAGATGGAAACAAAAAGATAGCAGAAGACATACTTTCAAGAGAAGAACCAGCAATGGCTTAAACGCCCTGTTCTGTAATTTGTGGAATGATCAGTTAAAGAGGTGTTTAAATAGAGGAATTAGCAGTTTCCAGAACATGGAATTTGGGGTTTGAGAAGCAGCAGATTAAAAAGCTTGAAGTTTCCATCTGATTCATGAAGGATCTGGAAATGGCTGCGTGAGTGTTGGTAGGTTGTGAAGAGACAAAGATGAACCCTCGAGAGTTTCGTTGTCAAATCTGTATGAGCCAGCGCCACACACGTGCTGCTATCATCGATCTCCTACTGTTCCTTCTTTTGTTTTCTTCTTTGTATCTCATTTTAGTCGTTATCGTTCAATCCTCTACAGTTGACGATTCTCTTCAAACCAACACCATCTTGACTGCTGCTGCTGCTGCTCCTGCCCCTGCTCATCTCCAATTCCATTCTTGGAAAAGTGACAAAAATTTTAAGAACCCTGCAGCTTACCTCACAATGTATGGAATTAGATGGCATTGAATTAACCCATTAAACTCCGCCTTTAAATTGGTTGGAGATGGATACACTTACTAATCAACTTTAAGCATTCAATTCTCGATTAGTAAAAACTAAAACTATTGATTCCTCAAATTATAGTAGAAACGTACCTCTCTTTATTAATGAATTGGAGTGTAATTCAATTGAAAAAAGTGAGGGAGGGCGGATGTGGAGTAAAATCAGGGACAAGGAATATAATCTCCGACCTTGTTTAGCTAAGGGAGAAATTTTTTTTTTTCACTCTCTCTCTCATTCTCCATTTAGATGAAATTCTTCGGCGGATCTAGATAGGACTATCTGCCCATTAAATTGAACCAACTGTATATTGGGTCATTAAGTCCTCAAGGGTTGGTTTCCTTTGCACATAATAAGAGGTTTTGCCTCGAGAATTTTGAGTATCCAAGTGAAGTTTCATCCCAATTGTCCAACTCCAATGTTGATTCTCTTTCTTATCTTCCAGCTTCTTGGTAGAACCGTAACATGTCAAGACGACATTGCATCATATAACTCTTCACAGGTAATTATTGAGTATTGAAACTAAATTGTTTATACTTTCCATTCAGAGTTGATGAAATTGACATCCCCTTTTGTTTACCTGTCCAGCCGGTCTCAGAAGGCAGTGGAAACTCTGTCTTCTTTTACCTTGTTCAACAGGTAATCAAATTTTGTTTGTTCCCATTTGGTAATCTCACGATCTCTCTTCTAATTTCTGGCTATTTGATGGTAAGCATCAGTGGCAGATTTCTCTATGCAATTTGAAGCCTTGTCAAAAACCAGCAACACCCACTTTCAGCATTTATGGCTTCTGGCCTGCTTGTTCTTCTGGGATTCCCAATCGCAAAACTGGAACCACTTTTGACCCTTCAAAGGTACTTTTCTGTAGAGTGATAGAGAGGGTTTGACGATTCATATGGATTATGATGTATTGTTTTGTAAATGGGTTTTAACAGATATCGGATCTGAAAAATGAGTTAGATAAAGAATGGCCATCTCTCGAGGAGGAGGAGAATGAGAAGATGTGGAAGAAAGAATGGGAAAGGCATGGAATTTGTTCTGAACCATTGCTCACTCAGCATGCATTCTTTGAAACTGCACTCAAGCTTAAGCAAACTTATGATCTCTTCAATATCCTAGCAAACAGAGGTGTGTTTCCAAAAAAAAAAAAAGTAAAAATACTAACTTGGAGAAGGCAATGTTGATGAATGGTTGTTTGTGATGCAGCGATATTTCCATTTGGAGAGGTGTATGTGTTAGAGAACATAAGTGATGCCATTAAAGCTGCGACGGGGCACACTCCACAAGTGGAATGCAAGTCATACAAACGCATCCCTCTGCTCTCCAACATCTTCCTTTGCTTCCAATACACTGCAACATCTTCCATTCATATTGTGGACTGCCCCCTCGTAACAAGATGCAAATTCCAAGCCGTCCTTTTCCCTTTTGATATTTTTGGTCCATCTTACAACCTCAAATCTACTACTTTAAGCAATCCCCACTAGTTTTCTGTTTCCCCTATGAACTTTTTGGTGTTTCCCCTATGAACTATTGAAATTACAAGCTCGTTTCTTCTATCTGGGTTAATGAATTTAGTTTGCGGTCAAATCACAAACTCATCCGTTTAAAAATGCTGTACCACAACAAAAATTAAAGATATAACCACATTATAGAACATACTACCTGTAAAATTCATTAGAGCTAAATCGGACATGATCACGTGAATGACGCTTTCCTTTCTTGATCCAATCCTAAGATTGAACATGTCGAGAAAAGCCCAGCAAAACCTTTTGACAGACAACCTTCAATAGCACAAGGAGATTTGCAGCCTACTGCACCGTTATATCGAACCATATCTATGTTCTCATCTGCAGTGCATGATGGTAAGTTTACCTCCAAGTTCACTGGCCTGCAACCCATGAATCTACTTTTCTTGACGCTCGTAACAGGAATTAACTCCATGGAGCCGGTTCTAGGATCGCTCGGAGACATAATGTCGTCCACTTGCATGTCCTCGGGAAATTTCCTCTTCAAACCAGGGAAAGACTTTAATCCTGACATAATCCAAACCAGTAAAACACGGCTTATATATCATTCTGCATGCCATGGAAGTCCAATATGTAAAACAGTACTTTTTTTTTTTTGACAGTTGAACGTAGTTTATACCAGGAAGAGAATCTTCAAAGACACCAGACTGTGATTCTGAGTCTCCACAAGTACAATATAACTTTGGAATTTTATTAGACCCTGACCGCCTGCACAATAACTACATGCTATCAGCATATCAAGTGTTAGTACAAGGCTTCAGTGATAAAAAAAGGACAGTCTTAAAATGATATATAGGCCAGAATTATTTAACCACATGCAACTTCAAACTCATCGCATGTGTAAGAATCTCCACTTACGAACCTGTACATGTGCTCGACAAAGTCATCAATTAGGACAGGCCAAGCACCTGATTGAAGAACGCAACTGAGTAACTCCAGACATTACAGTAAAAAAAGAGAAATATTGTGCTTATTTAAAAGCATACCCAACATTCCAAAAGACTAAGGGGGTAGTCTTAAGGCTCTTTCTTCAAAAGAAATGAGGCATAATTCTCAAGTTAATTAGAAAAATTTTAATGAATTCAGAAAATATAGAACTGTGCAATTCTTAAACACGATGATAACATAAAAGTACTGAAAAGAAAAATCGAGTATCCATCCATTTTTAATTCAACTATGAAGCTCATCTTTAACATCATCACTATAGCTAACTGAGTCAAACTATTGTCTAAATTTTTTGTTCTTTATTTTAGTGATAAAAGTACTGAAGGCATTACCATCAGTGTATACACATATTGCTTTCAAAAGTGGACTTCCATTTTTTAAGAGTATGCAGACAGCCGTTGGCTGTATTATTCCAGCCATCATATAACTAAGGAAATTCTAATCTCAGTGTATTCTCGTAGAACTGCAAGAAGCATGAGTTTCTTACGAATCAAAGTAAGGCTTTGCCTTGAAAGCTAACAATCGTACCCTACCTTGAGGCTTGCCTCCCGAATGCATAAGCCTCAAAACCCTTTTTAGGCGTTAAGCCTATACTTGAGGAAACAAAATAATAATACCAAGCCACCATAACAACATAATGAGATCAATTAATATTCACATTCTCATGATATTTCAAGCATCCACAGAAGAACCAAAACAGAAGGTTGAACATGAAAGTGAAGAATTAAAATTTTCTTATATAAATAGACAACATACTTTTTCTTGTGATAGAATTCTACTGAAAAAACTTCAACAGTTATAAGGAGGCGGATTGCTCGACGTACTCCCAAGTCTTAACATTTTTAACTCAAATAATATCTACGAAAATACTTACATTAAGAATTATTTTTTTAAAAAAAAAGTACAAATACCTTCCGGGTCATACCCTTCCAGATTTTCATGTACACAACAGCTGAAAGCCAAGACTTGCAGCCAGGTATCCTCAGAAATATTGTGTCGCTGATTGTTCTATGGAACTTAAATAGATCAGAACCCTGGAGATAAGTTGCACTACATCGCAGTTCTATTTCATGGAAGGAATTGAAGAATAAAACCACAAAAGTAACATAAATTCATAAACCGAGATAGAAGAAATCAGATAGATTAAAAGCTTAGGTATAAAAATACCCAAATTTTCCCAATCTCATCTACTTCAAAAATTGAGACAAATGCATACATTTTTGTAAAACATATATGAACGTGTATCCACACATGTCTGCAGAGGGCAACTACATAGGACAGTTCATTCATGGGTATTTTTAGCATATACGTAAGTTTCATAATTGTTGGGCCCCATAAACCCAAGTCGATGAAAATAGTTTCAGGTAGAAATTCAGGTTTCCTGATTATTATCATTCTGCTTAAATAACCAAACGAAAGAGGAGGGGAAAAGGGTACCTCAACAAAAGGAAAATACCTTATTTGAACAAGATATTTCTGTAGGTTGTATCACTGTGTCCTTAAGTTCTAAAAAAAACAGGAAAGAAGAGAAGGGGGAAAAGGGTACCTCAACAAAGTCACACCATTGATTAAGTAACCGAAATCTCCCATCCAAAACTAATCTCCATGCTCTAACTGCCCTACTAACAGCTGTAATTCAAATAAAATAAAAAACTAAATAACTTGTCGGAATGTAAGAGAAACTTTGACTTACCTAGTGCACATTTCATGTTATCTATGTTGGGAAACCAAAACATATTTTTTATATCCAAGTCAAAAGAAGGAATCTTACTGATATTCTTTTGACCATTTTCACGGCTCACAAAAAAAACAAACTCGTAAAAGCGTGAAAATTCAGAGAAGTCTACCTACAAAATAAAATTGTCATATTCAAAGCACAAAGTAAAAATATTGCCACCAGCTAATACCAAAAGCTTGCCGAATTGAAGGAAACCAGAGAACAGTACGTAACCAGGAAAACTGTTAGGAAGGAAGAGTTTACCATCAAGTTTGGATGTGACATCACCTTCGCTAGTTCATCAACAATTGAGTTCCTGCCAATGTAATAAATGCTTTTCAGATAACCTAGGTTAGTATAAGAAAAACTTTTATACTGTAATCAACAGCTATTTCTTGTGATCAGCTTCAGAAGTACAAAAATGACTTGGGATGGCCTCCGTTATCAAGTTGTAAATTTGGCACCTGTGTAGTTTTTATTTTTTTCATGTATCATTTCTTTTTATTGAACTGCCAGAAAATACTAGACCCAGAACTAAATGAAATCAAACTAGCAAGCATCCATGTCTATTAAAAATTACCTTGGTTTGATAATTGAGTTGATAAATTATCTTAGTTTCATACATCTGTCGGTTAAAATATGTTTGGAAAATATCTTCTTTTGAAAGGACAAAAAATATTGATTTGTAACTCTGCATATCCGAGAATACCATGGTCCATTTGACACAAAGGGCATCTGAAAAAACAACTCGAGGGCTATAGTACAGGTTTTGAGGGATATACCCCATCTGCAGCGATGATTTCACATAAAGGAAGAGTTCTGCAAGAGCCTGCTTTGAACTTTTAGCTATTTGTGATTCAACATGTCCACAGTCTTCATTCCCATGATAAAGGCCATTTTGAGATCGAATATCTATAAACAAGTTTGTAAACAAGTTAAGACTCGCTTATATTGCTAATTTGAGTTCCTAACGACATCAGATTAGAGTTCAATTAATTCATAGTCCAACCAATGAGGGGGGTTTCAAATATCAGAACCGTGATCTTTTTTCCATGACATCTAAGAGGTAATACATTCAAACAAAAATAGGAAGCCATTGACGTGCTCGGAAGTCAGAAGAAACCCATGCACATGATGATCATTTATATTCATATTACATTCATACGAAAAAGTGATAAGCATACATAAGTAGCTTGATTCTAAACGATCAAGAGCCAAAACTTGATACATTTTACTTTCTTTCAATAGAGTTAGTGTTTCCACTCAGCTCCACCAACCCCACATTTTCTCGGCTCCTTTTATTCTGGTTTTCTGTCATCTAAAGAAAAGCGAAACTATTTTATTTCTTAGTAAAGTATAACAACAATATTACTATTATCAATCTGGAGTGATTAAGTAAGACTCAAAATTTTCCTCCTAAAAGGCTGCAATTCAGACTCTGAAATCATAATACAACAATTACTAATTCCTTTTTTGGATCCCTTCTCGAAGTTTGCACCATCCTTGTGCAAGGGCCACACATATCCTCTATACATTGTTCCAATTTTATCAAATGTTCACAAAGTGACAAAATAATGAGTAATTCTTGGATTATTCTTCCGACAACCTACGAGTAATAACAGTGCTCATTTGTTCTCTAAGGAATCGGACTAACCAGAACAGAAAATTAAAATTAACCCTCATGCATCATACTCGCCAAGAGAATCACCATAAACTGAATCTTTTACATTCTTTATCATCCAAACTATTAATACAGGTCCCAAAAAATAAAGGCACCTAGACTTCTTCGGACTAAATACGTCATAACATCTTAAGCATCCAAAATCAGTTATAGCAAATAACCATCTTCTAAACAATAAATAAAAACATCCAAATCTTTGACATACCTATATCTTCTAAGCTAACATACATCAGCAAGCAGACGCAGACATAGATTTTTATTAAAGACACACACACACATACCAAAAATCCTAAAATATTGAAGCAGATATCCATCCAAGGGCAGAAATATTAAGATTCTAAAGGCATAACGAAACAAATTGTGGATAGAAAAGGCATCGAAGAAGATTCAAGAGAAATGAACTGAATCGAGAATTCGAAACAGTGAGGAGGAGAAGAAAGGTGTTACCACAGTATTGACGATAAATCTGGACGATATCGAAGCGATTCATATGCAGGAAATCCACAACGGAAGTCATGGAAGTTAGATTGTTGGGGAGCAAGGAGCAGAAGAAGAATCCTCCAGACCCCAACTCAATAACAGAGAAGGAAGCTCTCTCGATACTCTTTCTTCCCTCCTTCGCCTTCGCTCTGGTTTTGGTCCTCCGTCTTGGCTTTTTACTGTCGCACATTATATCTTAAGCAATTTCCATTCATATTCTTTTTTTTTTTTTCAATTTTTTAATCCTAAATTTCATAGTCAAATTTTAAATTCATTTTGTTCATTAACCAAAATCAATTTATAATTTATATATATATATATAAATAAAATAAAATAAAAACTAAAATAAAATTTCTGGAAATTGAAAAGTTGACATTGCATTATCGTCCACCCAAAATGTCGTCCAAATAATTCAATAAATAACAAGTGGACGAATGAATCCATCAATCAATTATCAACTAAAATGGAAAATAATTTTTTTTTAAAAAAAAGGAAAATACAATATGTGTGTGTATATATATATATATATTAATAAACGTAGACTTCCCGTGTTTGCCAACGGCGTCATAATGGGACCGACTTCAGAGCCGTCCGGTGGTGGCCCGTCAAGTCGGTCACCGCGCCTACGTACGCCCTGACCTGATCGTCATATCATCAAAGCTATTATCTTCCAGAATCTTCTCACCTCTCTTCGCCATGGCCGCCTTCTTTCTTCTTTCATATATTACTGTCTCTCGTCCCTGACTCTGCTGTTTCTTCCCATCTTTCTAGTTTCTCTCTTACTCACCATGTCCGATTCCGACTCTTCTTCCTCTCCTCCGCCGTCGCTGCCCCCGCCTCGCAGCCTCTCTATGCTTCTCCCCTTTCTGCTTGGCCTTGCCCGAACCACCCCCGGATCGCACCTGAACCAGATCGTTGTTCTCGATCATGCTGCCCGAACGGTCGTCGTTTTTGAAGGTCATGTTCTTGAGTCTTTTCTCCGCGACTTGTCGGAGAAATCCGGGCCGTTGCCTGCATCCAAGGCTTCGATCGATGCTATGCCGAGAGTCGGGATTACGGAATTGGGGATGGATTGTGCGATTTGCTTGGACGGATTTGAAGTCGGTGCGGAGGCGAGAGAGATGCCCTGCAAACATATGTATCATTCGGATTGTATTGAGAAATGGTTGAGGGTTCGTGGAACGTGTCCGATTTGTCGGTTCACGATGCCGGTGGACGATCAGGAAGGGAAGAAGGACGATGATGAAGATATGGAAGGAGACGAAGGCCGAGTGGTTGTAGTGAATCTATGGGTTAACGACGGTGAACCAATGGATGTAGAATCGGTGGAATCGGGCTTGGGGCATGGATCGGGGGACTCCGATTCGGAATCTCACGATGAAATTACGGTCGAAGTTGACGCCTCATCAACGCAAGAACAAGATCCCAGTTCTGAAGATTCTTCGTCATTTTCATTTTCGTCCTTTTTCAACTAGTTTTTGATTCCGTAGTTTTTTTCTGGAAGTGTCATTGTTTTATTATTTGCTGCACAACAAATCGGCACAGTGATGATTTTTTTTTTTGTTTCTTATGGGATTTGGCAAGTTCTGAAGTTGTAAATAATGAATCAATTTATGAAAGGTTTGATTGTGACGAAAATCCCTCTTCTTCTCTGTTCTTTCAGATAAACCAGGTTCAAATTTCAGGGCTCTGCACAATCTGCAATGACGTTTGCTCTGTAAGTACAATTAGAATACTCGTTCCACATCATAATGAACAGCCCAAACGCCTCTTTGTAATTTCCAGTGTCCACATACCTGGAAACTATGGTATTCCACAAAGCCGCATCCCTTTCGAGCATTTCATTGAACAGTCTACAGGCATCAACCATCATCCCGCACTTCACATGCATAAGTACAATCCTGTTCCGCATGTATTGATTGGGTTCAAATCCATTGTCAATCATGTAATTACACAACCTCCTCACCCCCTCTTACAGATGACAAGCCAAAAAACGCATTAATTAACGTGTCGAACGTGCTGTTACCTACATCATAACCGTTTTCTAGCTCAAAAATATCAAAGATCTCAAGTGCATCTCGGTATCTCTTACATAAAACCAGGTTCTCTATCTAGAAACAGATATCTACACTGGATCGACTTCCGAAGGTTTAGGTTCGGGTCGTGGCCGTAGCCCTTGTTCAAACGAAAAGTGAAATGCGTAATTTCTTGTACTAGAAAGAAAAGGTCTCTTCCTGATCTAAGAAACGCAGGGAGAAGTACAATGTGGAGTTACATTGAAGCCGATCATAAACATAGTTTTGATAGCGGGAGAGAGGAAGTTCCATGCTCATAAGTTGAAAGAGGTTCGTCGAATCTAGAATGGCGGAGGTTGGGGAAGTTACCTCGAGAGATTAGGAAGCTGACGAATCTCCTGAAATTGGATGAATTACAAAGACCGGAAGGCGAAAACGCGGTTGATTCAAAGGATGAAACTGCATTCTAAAGCGAGCTCACCATCGAGTACTCCGCCCAGGGCCACTCTGTTGGTTGATACTTCAGCTTCTTCTCAACAACGAACCCGGGCTTCTACGTCTTGCTTTTATCAATATAGCCTCGGATTTTTCTCCATTGAATAAAAAAAAAAAAAAAAAATCATCCATTTTTTTGAAAAAGAACTCAAATTTTATAGCTAAAGATCATCACTCAGGCTAAATTGATAATTATCTATTGTTTGTTGAAAATAATTAAACTTTCAAAAGTTTCGATCTTATTAAAATGCATTCTGGTGTTGTATCTGGTTTTCAAATTTCTTCCCTATAAGACATGGAAGGGAGGATGCCTGATTCCCTTTCAGTTACACCAGCCCAGATTGCAGCAGTTCTCAGAGACCTTCCTCTTGATCCAATTGGTCCGACCCATAATTTTACATCCAAAAGGGAATCCAATTCCAAGAACTAAAGGTCCCTAAGAGGATTTCAAACGCAAAAACCTAAGTTGGATGCACATGAGCCAAGAGTTTTCACAGAACATAGACCCATATGGAGTTTGCCAGCCATTTAATATGAGCTTGATAGTAGAGAAGCAATATGCTGCAATATCTTCGGCGCATCATCAAATCTACATTTATAAACAGCTTCTTGTGAACAACTAATATGTGGAAAGTGATGGGCAGAAAATCCAGATAGGAGGGTAATAGAGATAGAGGCATGGCATATTGATCAAAGCTTCTCTCAAGACGGGCATGAATGACCTGAGTTTCAGTTCTTTGAAAAGTGAAGAGAATAAGAGAATTTTAGTACATGAACCATGGATTCTACGTAGAAAGGAAAGCATATAGGTTCGAGATAAAAGACTCATCAGGACTTGCAAGCTCAGAAAGTAAAAGAAGAACACTACCCGCTCTTCTACTTTCACTATGATTAGGATGGTTAGTATCAACAGCAGCAGCAGAAATGCTATATCTGCAACTGTTAACATAGCTTGTCTTCACCCTTGTAACAATGACTACACCATATCTTTCAGAAAGCCTATTAAAGAAATGCTATCAAACAAAGCCATGTCGTCTTGGGGATGTCGAAATGAGACAAGCAGACACTGATGCAACAGACCGCGAGTTATGAAACAAGCCAGGTACTAATATTTTGCAAGTCAACAATCAAAGTAATCCATCAATATTTCAATTCAGCAGACACTGAAGCCAGGATTAAAAAAGATTCGAATATTTCAATTCAATCAAGGACTCAGGCCTGATCTTCTTCCATTTGCAAGTTAACAATCACACATAGCCACACAATACTTGAATCGTCTAATAATACTAATGTGATCAACCAACATGCATATGTATCAACTAGAAGTGTAATTCATGAGTATGAACAAAAAAAAAAGACAAAACAAATGGATTGAAGAAGTAAATAGGAGCAGGACATATGGAAATAAGAGAGCACATCGAGATGATGCAACAAGGATTGTATATTCCCTACTTGAAAACTGTATATGTTCCTTACACCTGTCTGCCATGAGCTTATTTAGAGACATCGAACGTTCTTAATCTTTTTCCACAAGAATAAGAAAATTCTTCTCTGCATACTGAGTAAACCTGTCATGATATCCTATCTATAAGCTTTAAACAATATTTATTATTAATACTACTATTTCTTGATCTTCTTCAGCTGCTTCCTAGGCCCAGGAACTTCCAACCTACCAACAGAACAGCCACATCTTGCTCGAAATATGAGCACTGCCCTTCCATTAGGAGGTGCCATCTTCTTAAGTTCAGCTTCTAACTCGCGGTGATGATCGCAGGGCAATTCAAAAAGCCCCTTCTTCACGCCATTTTTAACCAATGGAGTAGAGTTCTTCACGCACTCCTCCGTCTCCAATTGGATGTCGAATTCAGCCGCCTTTCGAAGCCCCTTGCAATAGGGATTTCCACATTTCCTGCTCGTGCATATTAAAACAACCCAAGCAGCTAATAAAGCACAGAAAATTCCAAGTCCAATGGATCCATAAATCCAAGGAGCACGAGAGACTTCATCTCCCATTAAATACAGAATCGCACCGAAAATCTCGAGGGATTCAACAATAAGAAGCTTCATATAAGGGAATAACAAAAACCCACAAGCACCAACGACAGCAATCAAAATCACAATATCGATGACGGCCGATCGAGACCGATGACAAACGGGGAATTTCGAACAAGTCGATGAGGGAGTCATCTTCTTGTTCCTGGATTTGAAACTCGAATCGGCTAAATTCACTGAACTCGCCATAATGGTTGGTTGGTCGACGGACTTGCAGACCGAGATCGAGTATGGGAAATAGACCATCTCAAACCAAATTCCAATCAAACAGCGATTGAAACTACCCGATTCAATCAAACACAGTTCATATCCACCAATCAATCAGACCCCGATATCAGATCGGACAACTCGGGGGAAAATCCAAATCGAAAAGAGGGTATTACTATAAAAAAAAAAAAAAAAAAAAAAAAAAAACCCAGAAATTTGTCGGCGCCTAAACCAATCCAACTCCTCAATTGAATCGAAAGCGCGATTAAACCCAAAAAACAAAGGAGCTAATGGGCAGAGAAATGTAGCGAAACAGATTAAAACCAAAGAAACGGAGGCACAAAATGAAGAGGCAAAGAGTGGAGAGAGCGTGATTTGGAGGTTCGAAGCCACATCTCTGAAGGAAAATGAACAAGAAAACGAAAAAGAAAGAGAAAAAAGTTGAAAATTTTGGGAAATGGCAATGGGGAGAGTCAGAGGATGAAGGAAAGCTTGCGAGGAGCGCTACTCCCTTCGCCTTATGGGCTTTGGATTTCTACTCTCATGATGTGGGAATGATTTGGTGGGACACTCCATGGGCCTTGGCCCACCTCTTTTTCCTTTACATCCATTATTAATTAGTTATATAATATTCTAATTTAAAGGATTATTATAATCTTAAGACATATAATTAATTATTATTTAGATTCTGTTTTATTTAAGATATTGTCGCATTCATTTCATCATTTCAACAATTTCAGTGTTTTCCAAATTGATTCCAAGTGTAATCCATGCACACAAGACTTACAACTAATACACTGCAAAATGCCCTTCTAACATTCTACTTCTTTAAATCACTATAATTCATATTCGTTTATCTTATTTATAAAATAAATATTTTTATTTATTTATGTGCGTAAAACCTTAAAGCTCCTGATAATATCGTATTATTGATGGAACAGGTTACACGATTTTATTTATTTAAAATCTTATCTACTTCGTTTACTTTTACCAAGTATATTTGGTAGTTTTACATTGATTCTTTTACATAAATATATAAAATATTGTGGGTGCACTGGACCTCCCCATGAATATATATGGTAATAGAAAAAACATTGCATGGTATGTTACGAGCGGACATTATAAATAGGGTTTGATATGAAGTGTGAAGGACCAAACAGTTCCATTGCGTTATCAAACTCAACACATTTGGATAATCCTCTCCAAGAAATGAGTAGCTCTACACCTCTCTCAGTGCTCCTCCTTTCATGCTTTCTCGTACTTCTGCTGTCTCCTGGTAATCTTCTTCCTTGTTTTCTCACGTTCTTCTTATATTTTCATGCCATCTTATTGACTTACTAACCTTCGTCCAACATGTTTGAAGCATATGGCGAAGAAGCAATGGGAATAGGCGTGAAAGATGCAGGCTTGTTCGGTTCACTAAAGGTAGATGAGTTTAGAGTTTTGGTTGATTTTGTGTGAAGTGTGTTTCATTATTATGTTATTTTTTGTAGGACGAGAAATCAAGGAAGATGATTGACGTAACAGACTATCGACGAACAGGGCCTAACATTCCTGGAGGACCTCACTACTCAAATGTAAACCATGCAATGAGCTTAACAGTGGGCAGAGTTTTGGTTAAATTTTGTGCCTCACTACTCAAATGTAAACCATGCAATGAGCTTAACAGTGGGCAGAGTTTTGGTTAAATTTTGTGAGAAGTGTGTTTGATTATTATGTTATTTTTTGTAGGACGAGAAATCAAGAAAGATGATTGACGTAACAGACTATCGACGAACAGGGCCTAACATTCCTGGAGGACCAGAAATCAAGAAAGATGATTGACGTAACAGACTATCGACGAACAGGGCCTAACATTCCTGGAGGACCACACTACTCAAATGTAATCCATGCAATGAGCTTAACAGTGGGCTGAGTTTTGGTTGAATTTTGTGTGAAGTGTGTTTGATTATTATGTTATTTTTTGTAGGACGAGAAATCAAGAAAGATGATTGACGTAACAGACTATCGACGAACAGGGCCTAACATTCCTGGAGGACCTCACTACTCAAATGTAAACCATGCAATGAGCTTAACAGTGGGCAGAGTTTTGGTTAAATTTTGTGTGAAGTGTGTTTGATTATTATGTTATTTTTTGTAGGACGAGAAATCAAGAAAGATGATTGACGTAACAGACTATCGACGAACAGGGCCTAACATTCCTGGAGGACCTCACTACTCAAATGTAATCCATGCAATGAGCTTAACGGTGGGCTGAGTTTTGGTTGGATTTTGTGTGAAGTGTGTTTGATTATTATGTTATTTTTTGTAGGACGAGAAATCAAGAAAGATGATTGACGTAACAGACTATCGACGAACCGGGCCTAACATTCCTGGAGGACCTCACTACTCAAATGTAATCCATGCAATGAGCTTAACAGTGGGCTGAGTTTTGGTTGGATTTTGTGTGAAGTGTGTTTGATTGTTATCTTATTTTTTTGTAGGACGAGAAATCAAGAAAGATGATTGACGTAACAGACTATCGACGAACAGGGCCTAACATTCCTGGAGGACCTCACTACTCAAATGTAAACCATGCAATGAGCTTAACAGTGGGCAGAGTTTTGGTTAAATTTTGTGTGAAGTGTGTTTGATTATTATGTTATTTTTTGTAGGACGAGAAATCAAGAAAGATGATTGACGTAACAGACTATCGACGAACAGGGCCTAACATTCCTGGAGGACCTCACTACTCAAATGTAAACCATGCAACGAGCTTAACAGTGGGCAGAGTTTTGGTTAAATTTTGTGTGAAGTGTGTTTGATTATTATGTTATTTTTTGTAGGACGAGAAATCAAGAAAGATGATTGACGTAACAGACTATCGACGAACAGGGCCTAACATTCCTGGAGGACCTCACTACTCAAATGTAAACCATGCAATGAGCTTAACAGTTGGCAGAGTTTTGGTTAAATTTTGTGTGAAGTGTGTTTGATTATTATGTTATTTTTTGTAGGACGAGAAATCAAGAAAGATGATTGACGTAACAGACTATCGACGAACAGGGCCTAACATTCCTGGAGGACCTCACTACTCAAATGTAAACCATGCAATGAGCTTAACAGTGGGCAGAGTTTTGGTTAAATTTTGTGTGAAGTGTGTTTGATTATTATGTTATTTTTTGTAGGACGAGAAATCAAGAAAGATGATTGACGTAACAGACTATCGACGAACAGGGCCTAACATTCCTGGAGGACCTCACTACTCAAATGTAAACCATGCAATGAGCTTAACAGTGGGCAGAGTTTTGGTTAAATTTTGTGTGAAGTGTGTTTGATTATTATGTTATTTTTTGTAGGACGAGAAATCAAGAAAGATGATTGACGTAACAGACTATCGACGAACAGGGCCTAACATTCCTGGAGGACCTCACTACTCAAATGTAAACCATGCAATGAGCTTAACAGTGGGCAGAGTTTTGGTTAAATTTTGTGTGAAGTGTGTTTGATTATTATGTTATTTTTTGTAGGACGAGAAATCAAGAAAGATGATTGACGTAACAGACTATCGACGAACAGGGCCTAACATTCCTGGAGGACCTCACTACTCAAATGTAAACCATGCAATGAGCTTAACAGTGGGCAGAGTTTTGGTTAAATTTTGTGTGAAGTGTGTTTGATTATTATGTTATTTTTTGTAGGACGAGAAATCAAGAAAGATGATTGACGTAACAGACTATCGACGAACAGGGCCTAACATTCCTGGAGGACCTCACTACTCAAATGTAAACCATGCAATGAGCTTAACAGTGGGCAGAGTTTTGGTTAAATTTTGTGTGAAGTGTGTTTGATTATTATGTTATTTTTTGTAGGACGAGAAATCAAGAAAGATGATTGACGTAACAGACTATCGACGAACAGGGCCTAACATTCCTGGAGGACCTCACTACTCAAATGTAAACCATGCAATGAGCTTAACAGTGGGCAGAGTTTTGGTTAAATTTTGTGTGAAGTGTGTTTGATTATTATGTTATTTTTTGTAGGACGAGAAATCAAGAAAGATGATTGACGTAACAGACTATCGACGAACAGGGCCTAACATTCCTGGAGGACCTCACTACTCAAATGTAAACCATGCAATGAGCTTAACAGTGGGCAGAGTTTTGGTTAAATTTTGTGTGAAGTGTGTTTGATTATTATGTTATTTTTTGTAGGACGAGAAATCAAGAAAGATGATTGACGTAACAGACTATCGACGAACAGGGCCTAACATTCCTGGAGGACCTCACTACTCAAATGTAAACCATGCAATGAGCTTAACAGTGGGCAGAGTTTTGGTTAAATTTTGTGTGAAGTGTGTTTGATTATTATGTTATTTTTTGTAGGACGAGAAATCAAGAAAGATGATTGACGTAACAGACTATCGACGAACAGGGCCTAACATTCCTGGAGGACCTCACTACTCAAATGTAAACCATGCAATGAGCTTAACAGTGGGCAGAGTTTTGGTTAAATTTTGTGAGAAGTGTGTTTGATTATTATGTTATTTTTTGTAGGACGAGAAATCAAGAAAGATGATTGACGTAACAGACTATCGACGAACAGGGCCTAACATTCCTGGAGGACCACACTACTCAAATGTAAACCATGCAATGAGCTTAACAGTGGGCAGAGTTTTGGTTAAATTTTGTGTGAAGTGTGTTTGATTATTATGTTATTTTTTGTAGGACGAGAAATCAAGAAAGATGATTGACGTAACAGACTATCGACGAACAGGGCCTAACATTCCTGGAGGACCTCACTACTCAAATGTAAACCATGCAACAAGCTTAACAGTGGGCAGAGTTTTGGTTAAATTTTGTGTGAAGTGTGTTTGATTATTATGTTATTTTTTGTAGGACGAGAAATCAAGAAAGATGATTGACGTAACAGACTATCGACGAACCGGGCCTAACATTCCTGGAGGACCTCACTACTCAAATGTAATCCATGCAATGAGCTTAACAGTGGGCTGAGTTTTGGTTGGATTTTGTGTGAAGTGTGTTTGATTATTATGTTATTTTTTGTAGGACGAGAAATCAAGAAAGATGATTGACGTAACAGACTATCGACGAACAGGGCCTAACATTCCTGGAGGACCTCACTACTCAAATGTAAACCATGCAACGAGCTTAACAGTGGGCAGAGTTTTGGTTAAATTTTGTGTGAAGTGTGTTTGATTATTATGTTATTTTTTGTAGGACGAGAAATCAAGAAAGATGATTGACGTAACAGACTATCGACGAACAGGGCCTAACATTCCTGGAGGACCTCACTACTCAAATGTAAACCATGCAATGAGCTTAACAGTTGGCAGAGTTTTGGTTAAATTTTGTGTGAAGTGTGTTTGATTATTATGTTATTTTTTGTAGGACGAGAAATCAAGAAAGATGATTGACGTAACAGACTATCGACGAACCGGGCCTAACATTCCTGGAGGACCTCACTACTCAAATGTAATCCATGCAATGAGCTTAACAGTGGGCTGAGTTTTGGTTGGATTTTGTGTGAAGTGTGTTTGATTATTATGTTATTTTTTGTAGGACGAGAAATCAAGAAAGATGATTGACGTAACAGACTATCGACGAACAGGGCCTAACATTCCTGGAGGACCTCACTACTCAAATGTAAACCATGCAATGAGCTTAACAGTGGGCAGAGTTTTGGTTAAATTTGTGTGAAGTGTGTTTGATTATTATATTATTTTTTGTAGGACGAGAAATCAAGAAAGATGATTGACGTAACAGACTATCGACGAACAGGACCTAACATTCCTGGAGGACCTCACTCTATGTAATGCATGTAATAGGTGAACAATGCATTATAAGTGTTGTTCTAGTGTAATGCATGTAATAGCTGAACAATCCATTGTAAGTGTTAGTTCTGTCTTTATGTTCAAGTATAATAATTCATGCACCCGCATGGACCTTAATTTTAATCCTTATTTAAGTACTCATTAAGCTTTTCGACTGGTGTTTAATTACTCTCCTCTATATACATTACATTAGATTAGTATAATTAATTTATTATTTAATATAATTTCGCCGCGAATTTAGGTTCAATTAGTAGAAGATTATAATTAAAAATATAGTAAAAAATTAATTGGTCGACCACTTTGCCCAACGTAATTGCCAAATCCCTCGTCTAATCACCAGAGGAGTTTGGTCTCTGCAACGTTTCAATGGACGGCAATACAAACCCAGCAAACCCCTCTTTCTGCTTCCTTTATGGCAATACGATCCCATAATGGTTGGTCGGTCAACCGACTTGCAGACCGGGATCAATTTTGGGAAATAGACCATCTCAAACCAAATTCCAATCGAGCCGCGGTTAAACTATCCGATTCAATCAAACACGGATCATAATCTGCGGGTCATATTAGACTCTTTCTTTAGGGTTGTAATGGTTAGCTTAGACCATTAATTTAATAAAGTTTATTTCTTTAATGAGTTGTTTTTATTGGATGATAAAAGTCTCACATTCATCGCTAATTTAAGGAATGATCACAAGTTTATAATGAATGAATATTCTCTCCATTAATATAATATTCTAATTTAATTAATAATCTAATTTAAAAGATTATTATAAGGTTAAGACATGATTTGATGTAATTAATTATTATTTATAAGATTCAGATTCATTTAATGTTTCCATGAATTTACGCGTATTCCAATCACATTCCAAGTGTAATCCATGCGGGGAGGACTTCAACTGATACAATGCAAAATGCCTCTACCTTCTGTCATTAACTCTCCCAATTTATGTATACCTTATCCAAACCTTCTTCCAACATTCTAGTTCTTTAGATCACTATGAATATTTGAATTTCACTCTTAAAAAAATGCTATTTTCAATTTTAATATAAATAAAAGTTATATAATATAATAGATAATATCGTATTACTGTGACGATAGATTATGAACACGTTATAGCTGCTCATGAATATAGGTGATAATACAAACAAACAAAGTTGCATGGTGGGACATTATAAATTGGGTTTGATCTGATCTGGGAAGGACAGTCCATTTTGATAATCCTCTCACAAAAATGGGTAGCTCTAGAACTCCGTCAATGCTTCTCCTTTCATGCATTCTTGTTCTCTTGCTCACTTCTGGTACTCTTCTTTCTTGTTTTCTCTTGTTGTTTTCTCTTGTTCTTCTCATGTTTTCATGTCGGCTTATCGACTTACTAATCTTTGTTGGACACGTTTGAAGCAAAAGGCGAAGAAGTGATGGGAATAGGTGTGAAAGATGCAGGCTTGTTTGCTCCGCTAAAGGTAAATGAGTTTAGAGCTTTGGTTGGATTTTGTGTCGGAGTGTGTTTGATTATTATGTTTTTTTCTTTTTTAGGTAGGAAAGTCAAGAAAGTTGATGATTGACATAAACGACTATCGAAGTACTGGACCTAATATTCCTGGAGGGCCTTTATTCCACGCCAATTCTCCATGAACTCGAACTCGTCATTTCATGGATATAACTCTCTTAAGCCCCTCTCTTTACTTCTATGGAATGAGTTGAAATGTATGTTCTAAGTGTTGTTCTATCTATGTGTCCAAATATAATAATAATCCATGCGTGTGCATGAACCTTGACTTTAAACTCTCTCCTAACCTTTTTGACTCATACTATAATTAATTTATTATGTAATATAAATTACTTGCCAATTTAGTGGGAAGAAGATGACGGGGACGAAGAATATAATTAAAAATGTAACAAAAAGTGAATTGGTTGGCCACTTTGGGATGAGTAGACGATGAGGAAGCTTTGAAGTTAAAAGATCTCTCTCTATTATCACTAACAACGATCTTTGGCACATGCCCCTCATTAGAATAACATGTCGACCTATTTTCTCTTCCAACAGCTTCTACTTGATCGTAAACAAAATCTTCCCGAATGTGACATAAGACCGTTGGCTAAAGTGATGAGATATCTTGTTCGGGTTATCCTCTAAATTATTTTTAAAGGAATCAAGAACTCAATTCTTAGAGTATTGAGCTATAACAAATACTTGTTTAGAGTTAACTTAGCTTAGATACATTCTTCAAGACTTGCAAGCTTCGTTATCCGAATCAACATTGTTGTATGTTGATAATCAAGCAACATTGTATATAACAACCAATTCAATTTTTCATAAACGTACGAAGCACATTGAAATAGATGTTCGTATAGTTCAGAAAAAGTTAGAAGCTGAAATCATTATGTTTCGACTAAAATACAATTAGCAGATATTCAAATACAAGTTGGACGTGGTAGCTCTTATTTTTTGAATTTGTTATTTTTTTTCTTTGCTAAATTCATTAATTTGTAACGCTGTGGGCTTTGGATTTCTCCTTTCATGATGTGGGAATGATTTGGTGGGACGCTCTATGGGCCTTGGCCCACCTCTTTTTTCTTTACCTCCATTATTAATTAATTAATATTCTAATTTAAAGGATTATTATAATCTTAAGACATGATTAGATGTAATTAATTATTATTTAGATTCTGTTTTATAAATGATATTTTCAGATTCATTTCTGTTTGATGCCTACATCTATTTAAAGGATATTAATTACCTAATGCTCTTAAAAGGTATGTCTGTATTCTCTCCTTGTACATATCTAAAATTATCAATATAAAACTTTTAGTCAATATTCCTCTTTGTATTTTCTCTCTCTTGTTCCTTGTGTTCATCTTGATCAAGTGTATGTTATTGAGTGATCTTAACAACTGGTATCGATCCTAACAATTTCATCGTTACATGAATTTCAGTGTTTTCCAAATTGATTCCAAAGTGTAATCCATGCACACAAGACTTCAACCAATACACTCCAAAATGCCCTTCTAACATTTACTTCTTTAAATCACTATAATTCATATTCATTTATCTTATTTATAAAATAAATATTTTTATTTATTTATGTGTGTAAAACCTTAAAGCTACCTCGTAATAATAGTATTGATAATATTGTATTATTGTTGGAACAGGTTACGTGATTTTATTTTTTCAACATAGCCGATGCATGATTTTAAAATCTTATCTACTTCGTTTACTTTTACCAAGTATATTTGGTAGTTTTACATTGATTCTTTTACATAAATATATAAAATATTGTGGGTGCACTGTACCTCCCCGTGAATATATATGGTAATAGAAAGAAAGTTGCATGGTATGTTACGAGCAGACGTTATAAATAGGGTTTGATATGAAGTGTGAAGGACCAAACAGTTCCATTGCGTTATCAAACTCAACACATTTGGATAATCCTCTCCAAGAAATGAGTAGCTCTACACCTCTCTCAGTGCTCCTCCTTTCATGCTTTCTCGTACTTCTGCTGTCTCCTGGTAATCTTCTTCCTTGTTTTCTCACGTTCTTCTCATATTTTCATGCCATCTTATTGACTTACTAACCTTCGTCCAACATGTTTGAAGCATATGGCGAAGAAGCAATGGGAATAGGCGTGAAAGATGCAGCCTTGTTCGGTTCACTAAAGGTAGATGAGTTCAGAGTTTTGGTTGATTTTGTATGAAGTGTGTTTGATTATTATGTTAATTTTTATAGGACGAGAAATCAAGAAAGATGATTGACGTAACAGACTATCGACGAACAGGGCCTAACGTTCCTGGAGGACCTCGCTACTCAAATGTAATCCATGCAATGAGTTTAACAGTGGGCAGAGTTTTGGACCTCTACTCAAATGTAATCCAAGCAATGAGCTTAACAGTGGGCAGAGTTTTGGACGTCACTACTCAAATGTAATCCAAGCAATGAGCTTAACAGTGGACAGAGTTTTGGACGTCACTACTCAAATGTAATCCAAGCAATGAGCTTAACAGTGGACAGAGTTTTGGACCTCACTACTCAAATGTAATCCAAGCAACGAGCTTAACAGTGGACAGAGTTTTGGACCTCACTACTCAAATGTAATCCATGCAACTCACTACTCAAATGTAATCCATGCAACTCACTTAACCGTGGGCAGATCACTACTCAAATGTAAACCGAGAAATCAAGAAAGATGATTGACGTAACAGACTATCGACGAACAGGGCCTAATATTCCTGAAGGACTTCACTCTATTAAAGTGTAGTCGATGTAATGAGTTGAACCGTGCGCTCTAAATATTGTTCTCTCGTATAATTAATTATAAACCATGCAGTAGCATGGACCTTTAACTTTCAACTCTCTCCTTATTCAACTAAAGCTTTTGGACTTATATATAATTAATTTATTATTTAATATAATTTTGCCGCCAATTTAGTGGTAAGAAGAAGAGACAAAGAATATAATTAAAAATGTAATAAAAAAATGAATTGGTTGACCATTTTGTCCAAAATAATTACCAAATCCACACAATTTCCCAGAAAGGTCGCAATTATGAAAACGAACCTTCCTGGTTGCAACGGCCTCCCCATTGATTCAACATTTCAGTAATTAAATTTAACATATTTTTGACTTTATAACAAACCCCAATTCCTCTGTTTCCTTGATCGTTCAAACCATTACGCGCAAACAGGGCTTCAAATACCCCACGCATCCGATTGAACCCCTCATTCAATCACCGGAGGAGTTTGGTCTCTGCAACGTTTCAATGGACGGCAACACAATCCCAGCAAACCCCTCTTTCCGATTCCTTATAATGATCGACTGCTTTCGTTTTCAGAAACTGGGCTCTTGGCTCTACGCCTTCGCTAGCGGAAAACGAAAGCAGTGGAGTTTACCAGCTTCTGAAACGGCTAAATCGGAACAGAGGAAAGAGGGCGGCGAGAGGGTTAGCAGAGAGGAAATGAAATGGGTGATGGAGGAATTGGGGCTTTCTTGGGGGGAAGAGACGGAGGAATCGCTTCCTGGGTTTGCGTCGATGGAAGAGATGTGTAAGATTTTCGATCAAACGGCGGCGAGTGCGGCGGAGGTGAAGGAAGCTTTCGATGTGTTTGATGTTAATAGCGATGGGTTCATCGACGTTGAGGAGTTGCAGAGAGTGCTATGCGTTTTGGGGTTCAAAGAAGGAGAGGCGATTCAGAACTGCCGGAGGATGATTAACAAGTTTGATGAGAACAACGATGGCAGAATTGATTTTCAGGAATTTGTTAAATTAATGGAGTCTGCTGTTTATTAATTAATTTATTTATTCAATTAATTATAGTAATTTCTCATAGTGGTCGAAATTCAAGCCTTTTACCCCTTCGTGTTCTTGTTTTTCTGGGCGTAAATGGCTTTGACATTTTGGCCCATCCTATTTATCTCTGTAATTTTTATATATAATCCAGTTACTTTGTTGGGTTGGATATTGAAGGATGAAAGTCGACTATGATCATAAATTTATAAACAAACAATACTAATTTTATTGGTATGAGGCCGTTTGTAAGCTCAAAGTAAAGTCATGAAAGTTTGTGATCAAAGTGGATAATATCATCGCATTGCATTGTGGAGAATCGTATTCGTTCTAACATGATATCAGAGTCGTGCCCTAAACTTAGTTGGTAAATCCTAAATATCGAACAAAAGATTCCAAAATAAAAGAGCATCCTCGAAGGCAGTCATTTAGGGAATGAACTCCAAAGGATTCGAGTCTCAATTAAGGAGTGGCGCAATTTAGAGACTGATCATGACTTATAAACAAAGATGAGAGTGAGTCGTGTTCATGTAACATGTTCCTTAAACCATTCTTATAATAAGTGGAGGAGCTTACAAATTTTCATAAATGTTGATTTCTATATATATTTAATAAGAGAATGGATGGGGAAGTGCAGAAAAAACAGAGGAACAAAACATTATTATTCTTTTTAATTATTTAATTATATATATAAAGGGAAATATATATTGTTTTATATTATAATTCAGAAGCCAAACAAACAAACCCTTCAACCCCATCAACTGAACTGCTACAAAACCAAAAAGGGCAATCTTTTTAAATCAGAAAACCCTTTTTGGAATCTGGGGGATTGGAATATTCTTGATTCTGTTTTAATTTTAATTTTTTTTTCTTCTTTTTCTTCTCTCGCTCGCTTGGTAGATATCAGCATATGCATGTATACGTAAAAAGGTTGAATTAATAGCGGAACTGTGCGCCCACGTATGTCTGTCCGAAGGACCAGCCGGAGGGAGCCACGTTGTAGGACAGCACTTGTCGGCCGTCGCTGGCTGTCACCAGAAAGGAGAGACTCTGTCCGTTCAGATAAGAGTTGGACTGCCAATTTTGGCCCCAATTTCTTGACATGGGTTGCCATCGGGTCCTCGAACCCTTAATTGCTACTGAATGTATATCTCCAGCACCCCCCACGTTGGTCACTAGTACCAAATTGAAATATGAATGGCCGTTGATTGTAAATCTTATCCCCCCACTTCTTCTGCACCTTACCCTGCAAAATTCACGTTTATAATTAAAATTTTGAAGTAATCTTTATGAGTTACACCACTGGAGTACCTGCGGTAAGCCACGGGGACAATTCCGGCACGATATTGGGCAATGTGTTGGAAGATAGGCTGAGAGAGGTCGAAATGGTGGTTGGGAGGGTCGCACCAGCCGCCAGGAGGGCAGAAGTTAGTGGCAGTGACGACAATAGTGCCTGGAATACACCACTGTGGGTCGTTGACACAGCGCAGCTCAAAGCAAGCGCCACAGCTAAGGCCATTGTCAAACAACGCCGTGCTTAGCGCCGCAGTGTTGGTTCCATACCCTTGGCTGTATAAATTTCCATACCCACAAGCCCCCCCTGTTACAACAACAACAACAACAAACAACATTAGTAAACCATTGAATTCTTACTAATTTGCATCATTAATCATAAGCCAAAACAAACCCATTGTCCCAGATGCATCACTGCCACCATAGAAAGTGGCGTGCGCGTTGATCCAACCCCCATAATCGCCATTAACACACGACACCGTCCAAGAAACACCCAGTAAGAGGATTATGATCCCCAATGAAGCCATTCAGTGCCAGAATTTTATTTTCTAAAACAGAGTCAGATGGAATTGGTTTGAGGAAATGAAGAACACAAGAGGGACTTGAAAGGGTAATAAATAGAGGGCAAGGGCTGTGGACGTGGACGTCGTGGTCATCATCACTAGTCAAGTTAGTATGCACCGTTTGTAACATTATATAGATTTAAGGGACGATATTGAGATTTCAAACATCGAGATAACTGCACCATAATTAACCAATTGAGTTATATTCAAGACCCGATTGAAAAAACGGAGTGTCGATGTGAAAGGTGGGGTTTGATTAGGGAAGGGTGAAAGAGAGATGAGTGATGGGGTAGAGGCACATGGACTATGTTCTACCATTTGACGTGCATTATTATTAAATGCCTCTTTCCCTTATTTATTACACGCCCATAGCTGTTTCCCGCCCTTCTATTAACGCCTCTTTTTCGACATTTTATAGACACGTCTTTCTTAAGGCCCCATTTACTTAACGCAAATTCAAACAAATATTTATTAAACTCGAATCAATAGAATCAAAATCTTATTTTTTTCGATCATCCGATAAGAAATTATCGAGAATTAAAATCAGAAATCTAGTCATCTTGTTCCCAAAATCGTATCTATCGTAATTACTATAATACCCCTCTCGGACTAATTAAATTTTATGATTGATACTAGACCATTTATGTTCCCTAGTTGTGGAGAAGGAAACAGATTTCAAATCAGAAATTGGTCGATGGATACTGAATTTTCCTCAGATCTAAAATAAAACAGGAATTTCTCAAAAATAATTTTTAATATTTTAAAATTAGTTAAAATCTAAAAAAAACTAAGCAAGCTTGAATTTAAAAAGAATAATAATAAATTATTTATCTTGCAATTTAAGCATAAATTAAAGGCATTCTGTCCAGATGCCGGTGGATTAGGATATTAGGTGAAATGTAGTTTTATGTAGCATATAAAAAAATTAAATATATATATATATATATATATATATATATATATATTATTTATATAAACCGGATAATGACAATTCATATCATAAATATCCCAAATTGATCCACTTAATGGGGGAAATTGATGCAGATGTTTAATCCAAATCACTTTACCAAAATACCCTTTCAATTTATAAATAACCCCAAATGAAGGAAAAATAATCCTCACACAAATTTGGGTGTAATTGTTTTGATTCGAGGTAAATAAATAAAATCAGCTTATTTATTATTGCACACACACACAGGAGGTTAGATATGTCATTTTAGTTTCTTTTTCGTAATATGTACTTTTTTTTTTTTTTTTTTATATATATATAGGAAAAAAAAAAGAATTTAAATAGAATTGTAAAAGAAATCCAAAAGCATTACTCAAATAGGTACTTTCTCTGTTCCCTTGTTTTTTGTTTTGATTAATGTTGTAATTATAAACACGGTGTCGGTGCTCCCTTTTTTTGTTTTTTTTGTTTTTTTTTTTTTTTTTGATATTATCATATAAAAATAAAATATAATTTCTACTATATTATTAAATAGTTATATATTTTGTTGGTCACATGTCATCGCAAATTACAAAATCTAACTTTATAGTCCATCCATTATAATAATATAATCGACATTTTTTATTGTTTTAAAACAATTTTTATATTTATTTTTTCAATATAATTTTTTTTTAAACTTAGGTGAATTTAAAATTATTAATTAGCAATTAAGTTAATAAAGCATTTAAAGCGGACTCACTATTTTTATACTATGATTTTTATATTCCTTAAATAACTTTTTGACTTTTAAACCATTACCAAAAAAAAAAAAAAAAAAAAAAAAAAAAAAAAAAAAAAAANATGTTTAATATAAAAACATAAAAATGAAAATAAGTTGTATAATTTTAATAAAGCTAAAAACAAAACAAAATAATAAAAAAAAATATATTTACAATAATGAATTTATTTTTCAATAGACTTCCATAAATTCTTTTTATTTTTATTTTTTGGGGCTAAGGCTGCAATAAAATCATAACTTTAGGGTGAAAATCAAATATAAATATATTTGGAACATTTTTTTTTTATAAATGATAAATTAATGTGAGTGGTTGAGAAACCATGAAGGTCCTCCCAATTTAATGGAACCATATAGCTGTTTGTTGGTACTCTTTTGTTTTATTATTTTTGGTAGGTTTTCCAAAGTGACCAAACACCTTTACAAAATTCAATTTAATTCTCCATATTGCCTTCATCAATCCATTCACAACACATTATTAACTATATTATAAAACTTTAATTATTTGTTTTCATGTTTGGAATTGCAATGTGACGAATGTCTCCGTGTCCTATTTTCAATTCTATAATAATCTTCTTCTAAATATATTGGATGAAAGCATTTTTTTACATGTATTTAAATGCATAAAAAAGAAAGAAAAAGTAAATATTTAAAATCTTTGAATCCTGCACCCACCATCATAAATATATGGTTGTCATCTACCTCATTAAAAAGTACGATAGGTTTACTCGAAATCAAATTGGAGTTTGAAAACGGTGAACAACCTAATAATTAAAAGTATAATTTGTCTTTTGTTTTTAATTTTAATATCGTAGTAGTACAAATGTCCATTTGATTAGGTTGGAGTCCTACATGGACCCACTCTAAATAGGGTGAATGGTGAAAATTTTTGGTTTAAATGTGGAACAAGGAAAGACTTATCCTGTTAATTAGATACAGTCGAAGACGAAATTTCATCATCCCTTTTATATATATATATATATATATCTAATTGTTCACGATTATTATTATTATTTTAGTACATTAATTCATTAATTAGTCTTGGAATGATGATTGTAAGTACTTAAAAAGACCCAACGATGTTTATTAAAAGTATAGATGTTATAAGTCTGATGACTGATTTGATTTTTTTTTGGTTGAAAATTGAAAATTGAAAATTAATCAAAAGTTTCATATAATTCCATTTAATTATATATATATATATATATGCTACAAAATTAATAAAATTTCAAAGAAAAATAGCAATTAAAATTATTTAATCGTTAATTTATAATTTAATTAAAATTAGGGTTACAAATATTTTTATATTTTTATATTTATTAAAATACAGGAAGATTAGCTAAAATTAGTCGCGAAAGAAAATCAATTCCAAATATTTTCGTGGCGAAGTGCAATTTAGCGAAAGTAAAATCAAAACCCTAGACTCCGTCACAGAAAGTAAGTCCCCAGAATCAACGATCGTTCCTAAAACTCTCGATTTCGCGCAATCGGTCTTCGTCTCCCATTGCCCTCGTTTTTCTTCATTATCTGACAATTTTCAGGTTGATTCATTATCTTTAGCTTGTAAATTTCATAATTTCTACGTCTTTCCTGTTCCGGATTTTGGATTCTGTTCTCGGTACCGATTGTTTCATTCGTTGTTGCTCAATTCTGCGATCCTTTTGCGTTATGGTTGTATTCGTTGTCTCGCTGTAATTACGCGGCACTGATGGTGCGGACGAATCGAGATCTAAACTCGTTTTCTTATATCCTTGTTGCAGTTGGTTAGTTTTACTTTTTCCTAAATTGTTTTCCTGCTTTTCGCTAATTTAACAAGAACACTGCTCGGGAACAAAGTTTCTTATTGACGTTGAAAGAAGGCTAGAAATTGTCATTCCTGCAGAAAGAAAACGAATTTCTGTCATGAAAGTAGCGACCTACAATCTTGCGTAATTCCTTGAATATATTGTTTCCTATTTTCTAGAGTTTTGTTACAACCAGCCGTCTTGTTGTGCAGTATGGGGTTAACATTTAATTCCGGTTTATGGTATAAACCTAGTATTAACTAATATATTTATGCTTTAACTGGTTCTCTTTTCTTATTATTGGCCTGAAACTTGAGTTTTTTGAGATTTTTACTGAGCAAGCTGCTTGCTTAGATGTGTATAATTACTTATATTGGACCATTTTCTTGTGGTGTGTTTTACGCACATGTGATGTGTAGCTGGGATATGTTATGGCTGTTTGTGTTCTCTGTTGTCTTTTAATTTCTGGTTTACTCACAACTTTAATACTTTATTTTCCTCTTCCGTTTTTTTATGTGTGTAGACAGATATAACCAGTTTTTAAGTTCATGGCTGGTCAGAGGAATAGTTACGGAAAACGTAATCGTTCTCAGTCTGATTATTCTGAAAATGGAGGGAACAAAAGAAGAAGTCACGGTGAGGACCGGGACCAGTTTATCATAGATCCAGAAGATACTGTTTACCGGTATTTGTGCCCTGTTAAAAAGATTGGAAGTGTTATTGGAAGGGGAGGTGAGATAGTGAAGCAGTTAAGGATAGATACTAAATCAAAGATTAGAATTGGAGAAACAGTGCCTGGATCTGATGAGCGTGTCATAACAATCTACAGCGCAAGCAATGAGACTAATGCTTTGGAAGAAAGTAGTGATTATAGTTCTCCAGCTCAGCAGGCTTTGTTCAAAGTCCACCATAGAGTTGTGGCCGATGACCTAATGGACGAGGAATCTGAAGGAGTAAGTCACCAGGTTACAGCTAGACTTCTTGTACCCTCTGATCAGATTGGTTGTATTATTGGGAAAGGTGGGCAGATTGTCCAGAATATTCGCACTGAGACTGGGGCCCTGATTCGCATTCTTAAGGATGATCATTTACCCCGTTGTGCTCTGAGTTCTGATGAACTTGTGCAGGTAAGTGGATGGCTTTCACTAAATTTTATTGTTTGCATTTCTGAGTTTTTTTAAGTTCATGCTGTTTTTTCCGTTGTAGCATTTTAATTTAGTTGTGTTTCAGATATCTGGTGAACCCCCGATTGTGGAGAAAGCCTTGTACCAGATTGCATCTCGACTGCAAGAAAATCCTTCACGATCTCAGCATCTACTTGCTTCTGCCATACCTGGTGTATATCCTTCTGGTGGTTCGCTTGTTGCTTCTACACATGGTGCTCCAATTATGGGTTTAGCTTCTTTGGTCAGTCCATATGGAGGTTATAAAGGGGACAGTGGTAATTGGTCCAGGTCTTTATATTCAGCTCCAAGGGAAGAATTATCTTCAAAAGAATTTTCTCTTCGATTGATATGTCCAACCGAAAACATTGGAGGCGTCATTGGCAAAGGTGGAGCTGTTATCAATCAGATTAGACAGGAGACCAAGGCTGCCATAAAAGTTGATAGTTCAGCTACTGAAGAAGATGATTGTTTGATAAATATAACATCCAAGGAGGTTTAATCTAAGCTTTTATAACTTTGTCTATTGTTGGCTGTGGATCATACTTCTGACAGTTTTATTGCATACTGTTTCAGTTCTTTGAAGATTCATATTCTCCCACGCTGGAAGCTGCATTGCGCTTGCAACCAAGGTGCAGTGAGAAAGTAGAAAGAGATTCTGGAATTATTTCATTCACAACCCGTCTGCTTGTGCCTACCTCACGAATTGGTTGCCTAATTGGTAAAGGTGGAGCTATCATTACCGAGTTGAGAAGGCTCACCAAAGCTAATATTCGAATACTGTCAAAGGAAAACCTCCCCAAGGTTGCCTTGGAAGATGATGAAATGGTGCAGGTAGTCGCTGTTAATTGATTTATATTAATTTTCCTGTTATGATGAACTCTCCCTTGTATTCCGTATTGCTTGTGTTTGCGTTCAGTTAATTTTATTGTTTTTCTGATTAGATATCCGGGGATCTTGATGTTGCCAAGGAGGCTCTTGTTCATATAGTGACCAGGTTGAGAGCCAACCTTTTTGATAGAGAAGGTGCTCTCTCAGCTGTTCTGCCTGTTCTGCCGTATCTTCCTCTACCAGCTGATGGTTCAGAAAGTCTATATGATGGTAGAGAAGGCAAAAGACATGGGCGTGGGCATTCTTATTCTAATAGTTATGGGGGTTTCACGGATTTGGCTGCTGGTGATGGTTATGGAAGTTACAGTGGCTCACAGGTACGTACATTAACCTTGACATGTCTAATTTTAGAGATGGTGAAAATGTATCCTTCTGCTTTTAGAAGGCTAAATTGCAGATAAGGTTTTGAAATTATCACAGTTGTGCACCTTTAAGCGAAGATTTTTTTTTTTTTTTTTTTTTTTGCCATGATCGTTTACCTATTATTGATCAAAATTTAATGCCCAGATTTCTAATTTGCAACTGAAGCCAAGCGTTTCCTTTGTAGATTGGTGGTGGTGGTAGTGCTTATGGGGCCTATGGAAGCTTTTCTATGGGACGAAGTGGTAGTTCAGGGTAAATTATTCTTTTCTTCTTCATTTAGTGGTGTTAATCTTGAAAGGAAGAATGGTTGACTTTGCTCAGTCGATGCACTCATTTGTTATTTGGTCAAATTATATGTATGTAGGTTTTGTTCCTGTATTTTTTTTTTTTTTTTCCCAGAAATCTTGTAAATCTTTCTAAACGAAATGAATTGGCTTGAAGTAGCTAATGTGTAGGTGGAGTAACTCCCCCTCCAAAAACAATAAAAAGGGGTAGTAATCATGTGTTCACTTTTTCTTCAGGGTTTCTGGACATGGCAATGTTTCTCGGAGGAGAAACTAATCCTAGATTTTGGTGGTCATTATTTACAGGTATGCTATTTCGTCTCCATTGGGGCAGGATTAAAGAGAGAAAATACGGAAGAAAAGATAACTTTTACCTGTTTAGAACATTCGCCAACACACCACTGACAATTGATAGTTTGATAAAAATAAGCTATCCGGTCTCCCTCTGCTCAAAATTCTGATACAGTTATTTTCCCCTTGCCTTTCCCTTCCCATTAAAACAGCTGAGATTTATGAAGCCTGAGGCCAGCCTACTGCCTTAACCTGAAGACCAGATGAACCAGGGTTTGACATATTCATGGCCCACCTTGATGCTACCTTTAGATGGACCATGCCTGAAGATCTTGTTGCTCTTAATTTTAACACATCCATATACCAAGATGACCTTGCATAAGATCTTGAGCTCCTAATAACCTACTAGCCGAAATGCCTTGGTTTTTGTTGTGTTTCCTTCTCAAAGATTGAACTATGAAACCGTGTTGACTTCCAGATTGGACAGATGTGGAGTTTTCGTTTTGTGTGGTTTACTGCTATAAGATTTGATTAGAACTCATGATGTGCACTCATTATCTCCTCAAAATTCTGTTTTATTTTTTCCTTTTTACCCTTGAGTGCACCCTATTCTGCATCGTCTCCTAAATGTGCTGGGATTAAATGTCGCACTCTGCTCTTGCACCCCCAATGGACATTCATTTTTATGGCGCTAAAACATTCCTACTTTAGACTCTAATTTCTGAAAAAGAAAAAGGTTTGTTATCAAGCCTCAGGTTGGAACCTTTAGCGAGCTTAATAAGAAAAACCCTCGATGTTTCGGGCCTTGGGGTGGGTGCAGGTGCCTTCGGTTTTGTGTGAGTGGGTCCTCGGAAATATTGAGTTACCAAAAAAGAATATGGTTTGAGCAGTAAGAAAACAAAAGGAAAAGGGTCAGTTTGATTTCTTTTTCTTTTTGCTATATTCATTAAACACTGAATCTGGAAATAATATGTGCTTAAAGATGAATGCAGTTTTAGTTTATTATCCAGTAAGTGAAGAGGCAATATTAAGGCCAGCCAGTGGCCATTCTATACTTGACAGGGCAAGCTTGGTCCGCTATAGTTTGAAAATGCATTGGTTTGTTCATTGTTTATAGTGGTCAGGCAAGTTTTTGTAGAACTCATAATGCCTTCAGTTTTTTTTTTTGTTTCTTATATTTTTTTGGATTTACAGTATTTTATCTTCAAAAGGATATTTTCTGTTAACATAGCTAGATGAGGTCAAGCCGAAACATCTGTGCCAGGTTACTGGTACCGTTGGTACCTCAAAAAAGTACACCCTTCCTCTATGCAAGGATATAACACTTTCTGACCCTAGAGATGGCCTTTGCTTTGAGTCTCTGGTCCTTGCATGGAAACTTGGCAGCTGGAACTATTGCGATGATAACCATGGTGGATTCGTGCAAAGTAATATTAGCTGTTGCTGAATGCAACTGGAGTTTTATACTCATTTGACCTTGGAAGGTTTTAGAAAATGAATGTTAGGTAAACTGCTCGTACAGATTGTTGATGGCAAGAATAGCGCAGGTTTGCGGGAATGTTTGTATTTTTCTTTTTAAATTTTATACAACTCTCGTAATTCTATTCTTTAAATCCCTTTTAATGAAGAAAATAGTGTGGCAGTTTCTGATGTGTATATATGGCCGTGAAATCTATGTTTTTAAAAGCGAAGAAAATAAGTTAGCTCACCCTACTTCAGTTGGACGTTATATTTTTATTTTCTTATAAACTTTGAACGTGCTGGTCCTTATTATATGCATGTTTTTTGAATTGTTCGTTCATTTTATTTCTGTAGTTTATTTTCAATTTAATATTTGAAACCCAAACTTCACGATCTTCCCATGAATCTCAAACCCCAACTATATGGCTTGAGGAAACCCTAATTTATAAGTGATTGGAAGAGAAGGAAAAACACTTTACATAGAGTTGTACTGTGTGAGTTTTTGTTCATTATCTATTGAATAGTTTACTTTACATAGAGTTGTACTATTATATACAGTAAGAACAGGCTTTATTCAAAGATGTAATTCTTAGATGTAAATTGAACATTTGCATTTATAATTGAGTTAAAAGTTTGTTTTATCTCAATAATTGTATCATCTTAAAGTATTATTGACTCTCTAATGACCCATTAATTGTATCATTTTATTATGTTTTCCAGTTCCCTAATTGGTAAGTCCGAAAAATCAAAGTTTATAAAATTGCATAATAATAAAATAAAATAAGAGATAAAAAGTTAAAAGAGGGTAGTTATGTTTAATTTAATTTCTATATATGTATATTAATAAGTTTGTTGCACTCGTTTCTTTAATTTAATTAAATATCTTTACGAATCTAATGTCATTTCTTTAACACAGTGTCCGTACACCAGGATTATAAAAAGTGTTTTTTGAAAATTTTAATTTTATTTCTTATATATTTGAATCCTTTAATCATGATAGATGGTAAGTCAGATATATTAAATTTAGAAAAAAATAATTTAATGTAAAGACTAAAACAAATGTTTACAAAAATTTAGGGAGGATGTAATATTTAAAATATAAGCATTGGTGTAAGAATTTCGAAGTTTTATTATATATCTGAACTCAATTATTGTTCATCGTCATTATGAATGTGACCAAACTTCACAACTAAATGGTCGCACATGCAATACATATATATATTCCAATAATTTCATTAATATCGTTTTTCATTATATATATAATTTGATGGACGTAACCAAATGAGAAAAATTTAGTACAAAATGTACATTCTTTTTTTGGTGGCTCAATCATATGTTTAAATTCACGTTAATAGTTCCTCTTATTATTTTTAAGAGTAAAATAAGAAAAAAAGTCAACCTCTAATGAAAATCATTAAATATAAAATTATAACGTCATTTAATAAGTTAAATAACAACTAACACCGTGACTTTGATTGCCTTAAATTCAGCCTCTTCACCTACTAATCAATCTATCGTTTATATATGAATCAAGTGGAATGATGTAGCTAGTAACTCACTAAGTCACACTAGTGTAATGAAAAAGTCTACGCTCTCTCGTATTTTAGATTAATATACTCCATTAATATCCTTATCCTTAGCCTACCCACGATTATTATTATTATCAAATCAATAGTTTTTGTCTTCATAGTTAGTATTAACATTGCTTGAACTTAATATCGATGATAAATATCTAAGCCTCGACTTAGTTCTCACAAGCTTGATCCTTAGCGTGGGTTGGCCACGAGTCGCCTAGTCGGGTTGTGACGGACTCGGGCATGTGGCTTGGGCATTAATAGATGGGTTCATTACAATTTTAATAGGTTTTATCCAATTCTTTGTTGGGTAAAATTAAAGATAGAATCCATATGCTGACGCTGATGATGACGACAATTTACAATATTTATAAAAAATAAAAATAAAAATGGAGGAAAGATGTGTTAGGCAGCAGGTTTATATAAAGGCATGGTTTTTGTTCAACCTCTGGATTCCAATAATATCCCCAAATTCATGTGTGTGTGTGTGTGTGTGTTCATATGAATTCAATAATGGACGAGCAGATAGAACTGCCCCCGGGATTCCGATTCCATCCGACGGACGAGGAGCTCATCACCCACTACCTCTCCCCCAAGGTCCTCAACACCAACTTCAGCGCCGTAGCCATCGGGGAGGCCGATTTGAACAAATCAGAGCCCTGGGACTTGCCTGGTATCTCATCATTTATACTCATCTCAATCCTAATTCACTCAACTTACAGTCTTTGTTGTTATTAGGGAGAGCCAAAATGGGGGAAAAGGAATGGTACTTTTTCTGCGTCAAGGACAGGAAGTACCCCACTGGGCTGCGGACGAACAGAGCTACGGATTCTGGGTATTGGAAGGCCACTGGCAAAGATAAAGAGATTTTCAGAGCAAAAAGAATTGTGGGTATGAAGAAAACTTTGGTTTTTTACACTGGAAGAGCCCCAAAAGGCCATAAATCTAATTGGGTTATGCACGAGTATCGTTTAGCACCAAAATTCCCCCTTTCTAAGGTTCTTTTCTTTCTCTCTGTTTTGCTCTGTTTCTCTCTGTTTCTCTCTGTTTTTTATGAGTTTATTCCTTCACAGAACGAATGGGTTATCTGCCGAATCTTCAACAAGGGCTCCGGGGAGAAACCACCACACAGTTCCACAGCTCTGCCGCCGCTAATGGAATATTCCCATTCCCAAACGCCCTACTCCACCGTGGAACGTCCACCACGCGTGACCTGCTTCTCCAATACATCCGACAGGGCTTACAATTTCAACCCTACACCGCAGGCGTTCCATTTCCCTAACCCTTGGCCGCCATCCCGGCTGTTGAACACTGCGGATTCTGTTTGGATGCCCGGAAACAGCGTTGTGAGAATGTTGGTTGAGAATGAAACGGCAAGTGAGTTGATGAATCCAAAAGTGGAGATTACAGGTTTTGGGCGTGGAATTGGAACGATGGAGGAAGATCATCATAACCCATCATCGCCTTCTGGTGATCCAATTGACCTTGAAAGTCTCTGGAATTATTGATGTCTCCTTCTTGATCATTAAAATGATTGGGAGAATTTAAATTTGCGTTCATATACATTATGATATAGGATCATAGCAAGGAACCTATTTTGTTTTGTTTTGAGGGGGTCTAATAGTGTCATGTGATTCCAAATATACTTGTATATACAAATCTCAATAATCCAAACAAATGTTGTAGATGGCCTAAATTTAGATGTACCATGATGCAACAACTTCTTAATTTAATGCACCAACAATCTTCATTCGACATTTGATAATTCTATTAATTATGGGTTCACGATAATACATCTTTGATTATTTATTATTATAAACATGATTTGGTCGTAAAACCTTATTCATTTCAGTTTTGATTTTGATTCTCGAACCCTTTTTAATTGTTATAAACTCCTATTTTGTTAAGCACAATGCTTTTATAATAGCTTTGAGATACGACAATTTCTACTGAATATAAATTCGGATTTATTAATTATTATCGTTATTTTAAATATTTTTGAAGGAAGATTTTTGTAGGGATGGAGATGGATGCACAATTACTTGCGTCTGAGATTTATATTTTTCCTATCAGAGCTTTAAAAATTAAAAATTAGAATATAAATTATTAAAAATTAGAAAAATGGAAAAATCAAATAAATATCTCATTCTCAATATAGCTGCCTCAGCCTAACGATTATTCCCCATTTTTGTCATCACTCAAAACAAACATTTGGTTGGTGATGCTACCATCTCACCACAATTTTTTTTCTATAATAATAATAATAATAATAATAATAATAATAATAATAATAATAATAATAATAATTTTTTATCATGTTAATTTAAATCCTAAAAATTAAATAGGTCATAGTTTATTAGTGGAATTTTAGATTTCTGATTTGAATTTAAAGTTTAATTTGATAAAATAAAATAAAATAAAAATGCATAAATACTTAACTTTAAGAAATAAAAGTTGAAAGGTACCGAAATTTATACCAATTAAAGTAGGTATTGAGTTATTTAAAATATATGAAGGAAAAGACCATAACCACCCTACGGAATGTTGTTAATTACCAATTAATCCCTTCATAAATGTCCTCCACTATATATGTATCTTATTTGATAATTTAGGAGAAGTTATTTTGAATAATTAAATAATGCCTTTTAATTTCTTATCATTTAGCGTTCATTTGGGTTTGAGTTTAGTTTTTTCGTTTTTGTTTTCTACTTTTGAAAAATTATTATGATTAATGACTTGATTATGTTGGATCGGTATGGCAACCCTAGAGGGGGGGTGAATAGGGTTTTAACGATAAAAGTGTTTAAACTTGATTAATTTTTCTAATGATAAAACTTTTTACAAATAAGTAGAAGATGATAATTACTAAAGCAAAATAATTCAAGTCAAAACAATAATCAAGTAGAACATGCAATAAACATAATAATAATCTTGAAATTAAATAGGAAAGAGTTAGAGAAAATGACACCGTAGTTTTATAGTGGTTCGGTCAAACTCGACCTACTCCACTCCCCAAGCGCCTCTTGGGAATTTGAATAAAGAACTTTTCCGACTCTTTCCACGGATCAGAGCCAAACCGGTACACCGCTCTTTTTACGAGTTCAAGAGCAAACTCAATCCTTTCAACGACGCAGGATCAAACCGATACAAGTATTTGAGTTTGATAATAACACACCACAACTCTCTCAAAGAGTAGATTTACAATTTGGGATACTGACAACTATTTCCTCACAATATAATAATAATCCCTCTCAAGAATAAGATGAAAAGAAATAAACTTGTAAGCTTGGAGAGAGCAATAAACAATGGAGACTTTGAACAAATGAGGATTGAAGAATGTATGTAAGTTGTGTCTTTTAAAAATGTGGGGAAGATGAGTTTATATAGAGGAGAAAAGTGGCAAAATGTAGGATTGAATATTGACCATTGGATTGTGTTAGGAATAATGGAAGGTGGAGATTAAAAGTAATTAAGTAAGAAAATTTTCTAAATTCATTTATTTCAAAATTTTAATATAATAGTAATATAATATAATAATAATAAAAAGTTATGTGAGTAACGGTAAAATGTAATTCAAAATTTATTATAAATATAATAATATAATAATAATAAAAATGATGTGAGTAACTACCAAAATTTTAAAATATAATAATATAATAATATAATATAGTAATAATAAAATTCGATGTGAGTAACGGTTATATTCAAATTTATATTTGTAAAAATAATTTTATTTAGAAATGTAATAATAAGAAAAACTCCACCATGTGTTACTCTTCCAATATTATAAATGTCATACTTTGATATATTTTGATTTGTCCATCATTTTGATTTTGTTGCCACATCATCACGTCGGGTATGTTGTCTCGACTCTAATTTCTTCGTTTTAGCTCTGATTTGAGTAATTGAAAAGTTGTTGTAATCGTTATTCCCGACCTTATACTGTGGACAGTTCAAAAAACTGAAAATAGTTAATAATTAAAAGTAGGTTTGTTATCATCAAAACATCAATAATTAATTCATTGAAATTAATTAATGTGAGATCAAGGGCCAATAAGCCAACAATCTCCCCCTTTTTGATGATGACAAATCATTTAAAGAAAAATTCATAAAAACCAATAATACAACATCCATGTAATAATATCACTACATACTAATATATTATCATAAATTTCACTCAAGAGCATATTCTCCCTTATATTAATGCCTCAAGAAATTATGAAACACCAAGTAAATGATTCATAAATTATAAAATAACAAATTTAGAACATATTTTTCTTAATTTTCTCCCCCTTTGTAATCATCAAAATGAACAATTGAAAGAGAATGCATTTAATAATGACATAATGGCAACCCCTAAAAACATGCATTCAAAAATTATAAAATTCAAGATATATCACAACGAATAATACCAAGCTCAAGCCTATTTTTGCAAAAAATTTCTTCATTCAATGGCTTGGTGAAAATATCGGCCAGTTGATTATTAGAGTTTACAAAATCAAGAATAATATGTCCATTTTGCACATGCTCTCTAATAAAATGATGTCTAATGTCAATATGTTTAGTTCTAGAATGATGAATAGGATTTTTAGTTAAATTAATAGCACTTGTATTATCACAAAATATAGGCACACTATGAAACTTTAATCCAAAATCACAAAGAGTTTGTTTCATCCAAAGAATTTGAGCACAGCAACTAGCAACCGCAATATATTCCGCTTCGGTAGTAGATAAGGCAACCGAATTTTGCTTTTTACTAAACCAAGAAACTAAGGAACTACCAAGAAATTGACAAGTTCCACTAGTACTTTTACGATCAAGTAAGCTTCCGGCAAAATCTGCATCAGAATATCCTACCAATTTAAATTCAACATTTCTAGGATACCACAATCCTAGATCAATAGTTCCAAGCAAATATTTAAATATTCTCTTAACGGCATGTAAATGAGATTCCTTAGGACAAGATTGAAATCTAGCACAAAGACATACACTAAACATAATATCGGGTCTACTAGCGGTCAAGTAAAGTAAAGATCCAATCATACCTCGATAAGCTTTAATATCCACACTTTTACCTTTTTCATCCTTGTCAAGCTTAGTGGATGTGCTCATGGGAGTTCTTGCAATCTTACCTCCATTGAACTTGAATCTTTTGAGCAAATCTTTAGTGTATTTCTCTTGATTGATGAAGATACCATTCTTGAGTTGTTTGATTTGAAGTCCAAGAAAGAAACTGAGTTCTCCCATCATACTCATCTCAAACTCACTATGCATACATTTAGAAAATTCTTCACATAAAGAA